GCCCCTGTGATAACATACCAACCCTCATCTCCTAGAAACATTGATACAGGCCCCTGTAATAGTATACCAACCCTCATCTCCTAGAAACATTGATACAGGCCCCTGTGATAACATACCAATCCTCATCTCCTAGAAACATTGATACAGGCCCCTGAAATAGTATACCAACCCTCATCTCCTAGAAACATTGATACAGGCCCCTGTAATAGTATACCAACCCTCATCTCCTAGAAACATTGATACAGGCCCCTGTGATAACATACCAATCCTCATCTCCTAGAAACATTGATACAGGCCCCTGTGATACATTAGGCCCCTGTGATAATATACCAACCCTCATCTCCTAGAAACATTGATACAGGCCCCTGTGATAATATACCAACCCTCATCTCCTAGAAACATTGATACAGGCCCCTGTGATAACATACCAACCCTCATCTCCTAGAAACATTGATACAGGCCCCTGTGATAATATACCAACCCTCATCTCCTAGAAACATTGATACAGGCCCCTGTGATAATATACCAACCCTCATCTCCTAGAAACATTGATACAGGCCCCTGTGATAATATACCAACCCTCATCTCCCAGAAACATTGATACAGGCCCCTGTGATAATATACCAACCCTCATCTCCCAGAAACATTGATACAGGCCACTGTGATAATATACCAACCCTCATCTTCTAGAAACATTGATACAGGCCCCTGTGATAATATACCAACCCTCATCTCCTAGAAACATTGATACAGGCCCCTGTGATAATATACCAACCCTCATCTCCTAGAAACATTGATACAGGCCCCTGTGATAATATACCAACCCTCATCTCCTAGAAACATTGATACAGGCCCCTGTGATAATATACCAACCCTCATCTCCGAGAAACATTGAAACATTGATACAGGCCCCTGTGATAATATACCAACCCTCATCTCCCAGAAACATTGATACAGGCCCCTGTGATAATATACCAACCCTCATCTCCTAGAAACATTGATACAGGCCCCTGTGATAATATACCAACCCTCATCTCCTAGAAACATTGATACAGGCCACTTTGATAATATACCAAATCTCCTATTGATACAGGCCCCTGTGATAATATACCAACCCTCATCTCCTAGAAACATTGATACAGGCCCCTGTGATAATATACCAACCCTCATCTCCTAGAAACATTGATACAGGCCCCTGTGATAATATACCAACCCTCATCTCCTAGAAACATTGATACAGGCCCCTGTGATAATATACCAACCCTCATCTCCCAGAAACATTGATACAGGCCACTGTGATAATATACCAACCCTCATCTCCCAGAAACATTGATACAGGCCCCTGTGATAATATACCAACCCTCATCTCCCAGAAACATTGATACAGGCCCCTGTGATAATATACCAACCCTCATCTCCCAGAAACATTGATACAGGCCCCTGTAATAATATACCAACCCTCATCTCCTAGAAACATTGTTACAGGCCTCTGTGATAATATACCAACCCTCATCTCCTAGAAACATTGATACAGGCCCCTGTAATAGTATACCAACCCTCATCTCCTAGAAACATCGATACAGGCCCCTGTTATAGTATACCAACCCTCATCTCCTAGAAACATTGATACAGGCCCCTGTGATAATATACCAACCCTCATCTCCTAGAAACATTGATACAGGCCCCTGTGATAATATACCAACCCTCATCTCCTAGAAACATTGATACAGGCCCCTGTGATAATATACCAACCCTCATCTCCTAGAAACATTGATACAGGCCCCTGTGATAATATACCAACCCTCATCTCCCAGAAACATTGATACAGGCCTCTGTGATAATATACCAACCCTCATCTCCTAGAAACATTGATACAGGCCCCTGTGATAATATACCAACCCTCATCTCCTAGAAACATTGATACAGGCCCCTGTGATAATATACCAACCCTCATCTCCTAGAAACATTGATACAGGCCCCTGTGATCACATACCAACCCTCATCTCCTAGAAACATTGATACAGGCCCCTGTGATAATATACCAACCCTCATCTCCTAGAAACATTGATACAGGCCCCTGTGATAATATACCAACCCTCATCTCCTAGAAACATTGATACAGGCCTCTGTGATAATATACCAACCCTCATCTCCCAGAAACATTTATACAGCCCACTGTGATAATATACCAACCCTCATCTCCCAGAAACATTTATACAGGGCACTGTGATAATATACCAACCCTCATCTCCCAGAAACATTGATACAGGCCCCTGTGATAATATACCAACCCTCATCTCCTAGAAACATTGATACAGGCCCCTGTGATAATATACCAACCCTCATCTCCTAGAAACATTGATACAGGCCCCTGTGATAATATACCAACCCTCATCTCCCAGAAACATTGATACAGGCCCCTGTGATAATATACCAACCATCATCTCCAAGAAACATTGATACAGGCCACTGTGATAATATACCAACCCTCATCTCCCAGAAACATTGATACAGGCCTCTGTGATAATATACCAACCCTCATCTCCCAGAAACATTTGTACAGGCCACTGTGATAATATACCAACCCTCATCTCCTAGAAACATTGATACAGGCCCCTGTGATAATATACCAACCCTCATCTCCCAGAAACATTTGTACAGGCCACTGTGATAGTATACCAACCCTCATACCGCAGCACTAGGTCACACAGGCGTCGACACAACACATACAGCAGCGTTAGGTCACACAGGCGGCGACACAACACATACAGCAATGCTAGGTCACACAGGCGGCGACACAACACATACAGTAACGTTAGGTCATACAGGCGGCGACACAACACATACAGTATAGCTAGGTCACACAGGCGGCAACACAACACATACAGCAGTGCTAGGTCACACGGGCGTGAACACAACACATACAGCAACGCTAGGTCACACAGGCGGCGACACAACACATACAGCAAAGCTAGGTTACACAGGCACGGACACAACACCTACAGCAACGCTAGGTCACACAGGCACGGACACAACACATACAGCAACGCTAGGTCACACAGGCGGCGACAGTACACATACAGCTGTGCTTGGTCGTACCGGTCACCGATATATATCGCACAGGGCTGTTAGCACAATTTCATTTATTGGTGCATACAGACACCACATGAGGTATGTGGTGTCCTCCTCTATATCTCAACATCCACAATTTTTATTTATGTTTATTCAACACTGGTAATAGGGTCAAAAAAGCAAACACAACACCAATTTATGCAATCTCGAAATCGAGAATCTCACATAATTTTACTCAACACACAATCATACATACAATACAACACACAAACATACAAACACCATCCACCATTTAATCCTAACCTATAAAACTCTCAACCTCAACGTAACTTATCTTGTTGAAACCTTTCGTAACCCTTTTAATGCTGCACATTTACACAAATCACATATATGATTATAAAAAGTCGGTATAGTGAACAAATGTATGCAGAAAGAATGGAGTGGAATCACAGAAAGCAATAGACAATATGGTTGGGAAGGTCTTCAAGACGGGACAACAACAAAAAACAAGCTTAAATTATGATTTCATCTTCACCAATCTAACCAATAACCACTCACCACTAACTATAGTCCGGCTGATGGGACTTTAAACGGTGGCCCGTGTGGGGATTATCCAACCTCGCACGCTAAAGATCCCTCTGTATTTTTCGAAACAGACTAGGCGTGCTAACACCGGTCCAGGGGTCTATGGATAGTGTCAGACTATAAAATTATTCTTAAGGCATTAGACATACTTCAAAATGACCCCAACACAAATCAAAGCCAGACAGGTCCCCAAACCTTCCTGCCAGCTTCTGGATATGTTTTAACTGCTAGAGTTAGAATAATGCAATATTATGCCCTGGATCCGTCTTCTTTAACTAGTATAATCAAATGGTCAGCGTTACTGGTGATTTCATTGAGGAGGATGCAGGTCGCCAGAACACTAATGTTCGTCGGTGAGACGAGAGCCGGATACGAGATGCATTACGGAGACGGAAAACCTGGCAACCAATCAATAGCTCGTCAGCCGGTTGTAAAGTCCTGGTGAGATTGTGTCGGCTCTCTCTCTCTCTCCTGGAGCGCTAGGTGCAGTATGTAGGGGCTGCAGTCTATTTTAGTTAGGAATTGGAGTATGTAGGATTCTTCTCACATAAAGTTCATAGCGTGATGAAGCCACCGTCTATACTAACAGTCTTACATATGTAGTAACATTGTATCTGCTAGAAATGTTGTGTTTATCAGATGTAGGAATATAATGGTATAATGTGAGATAGTCGTTATTTTACTCGGTATTGTTGTACCTTATCAGTTTTTGATGTGAATGAAATATAATTAACATTCCGTCTTCTTGCTCTTTTGTTATATACACGTAACCGACGTTTCCAATTTGTAAAACCCTTTTTGGTCGAAGATTAACGTACCTGGGTTGAAGGGTTCACTGCGGAAACCTCAAACTTTTACACTGGTGACGTTACCAGGATATTGTTTACCAATTTTGGACATTTTTATTTTTATTTGGGTCGTTTCAATCAAGATTTAAAAATGAGGTGGTACGGCCTCTGGGCAGTGTAATAGACATGAACAGGGGACCATTATATAAGCTGCCATGTCGCTACTAGTACTGTATCATACACTTTCAGCACACCTAGAATTACCTTTTCAGCAGGGAGCAGGGCTCCGTGTTCTAGTACTGCTTCTATTTTGGTTCTTGTTGATGACATTTCGTTCCATATTAATTCCAAGATATATATATATGCATTCGTTCCGCATAATTGTGACAGCCTCGCTAGGATACCAATCCCAATTTTGTATCTACCTATGTGGTACCATGTGCTTCAGTCGAACACAGTAGATCATGCCGGCTACACGTGTTAGTGTTATCTGTATTCTGTCGGTCCTGTTAGACCAGATATAGTTATTCACATAGTGGCAGCGGTAAACTCAACATGGCAGAAGCAGCATTTCGTTTGCCGGAGAAACTAAACATTACGGAAGGTAATATTGCCGAAAATTTCCGGAAATGGAAACGACAAGTGGAAATTTACATGTCGGCGAGCGGTACCGCGGCGAAGGACAATGTAACCCAAGTTGCTATTATTTTGCATTGTGCGGGTCCACACGTGGTTGAACTGTTTGATCAATTCACATGGGATAACGAGGATGATGATAAGGATCCCGATAAAGTACTCAAAAAACTTGAGAAATACTGTAATCCCCGAGCGAATGAGGTTATTGAATCACACAGATTCTGGTGTGTACCGTGGCAGGAACCATTCGACATTTTCCTTACGGAGTTGAGACACAGGGCCGATCGATGTAATTTTGGCGCCTTGAAGGATCGTCTGATCAGAGACAAGATTATTTTCTCATGTCAAGGTAAGCTTCAGCTACAGTTATTGAAAGACGACAGTAACACTCTAGAAGGAACTATTAAACTGTGTCGTGCTTTTGAACAGTCAGCAAATCATGTGAAAGAATTGAGGGATGGCGGTGTGTCAGTCGCTACTAAAGTAAACAAAGTCACAAAGGCTCATCGTAAAACCAGTAACAGTAATCGGAGTCAACATTCCAATGACGAAAATAAGAAACCCGGTGCTGGACGCTCTGTGAAACCCAGCAGACCCAAAAAACCGGAGGACAGACACGGTGAGTGTGATTTTTGTGGGGGCAAACATGAACGTAATAAGTATAAATGCCCAGCCTATGGGAAAGTCTGCGACCACTGTAAGGGGAGACACCACTTCAAAAAAAATGTAAAAAGATACATTTGGTTGAAGGGAATGATACACAGTGTGAGGATAGTGATGACGACAATTATCATTGGCTATCAGCTGTGAAATCCAAGCCACGTCAGAATGTGTCAGCGTGCATGATAGTGAACGAGCAGGAGGTTCGATTCCAACTCGACAGTGCTGCAGATGTGAACACTATCAATCAGAAGTTTGTGAGAAAAACTCAAGTTCGACCTACATCTATAACATTGAAGATGTGGAATAAGTCAGATTTGAAACCCCTTGGTGAAGCGGATCTGGAGGTGACTAATGCGAAAACTGGTGAGGCACACAATGTGACTTTTGTGGTGGTACCTAATGGGCTAATGTGTCTTCTTGGACTACAGACAGTTCAAGAAATGGGACTAGTAACAATAAATAACAGCAAGATTATTGCTGCTGTGAACCAACAACAACTTGGAGATCTCGGTGAAGCATCTCTCAAGGTCAACCCGGAGATACCTGCGAAAGCCTTGCCATGTCGTAAAATCCCTATCGCACTACAGGATGAGGTCAAACGCGAGCTCGACTCATTAGTCGCGCGCAATGTTCTCGTACCAGTCACAGAACCTAACACATGGGTAAGTCAAATGGCAGTTGTTCACAAGTCGAATGGAAAGCTGCGCATTTGCATCGACCCTCAAGCCCTTAACACGGCGTTGATGCGTGAACACTACAAACTCCCAGTGTTGGATGATGTATTGCCAAAGTTAAGCAAGGCTAGATGTTTTAGCAAGCTAGATGTCAAGGACGCATATTGGCACGTGAGACTTGACGAGGAGTCTAGCAAGCTCACAACCATGATAACCCCTTTCGGTCGTTTTCGTTGGGCGAGACTACCTTTCGGACTCAAGGTGTCCAGCGAAATTTTCCACAGGAAAATAACTGAAGCGTTAGGTGACTTAGATGGAGTCTTCACGATAGCGGACGACATCATTGTAGCCGGTTGCGGAAGCGACGACTCAGCAGCTAATCGCGACAACGACCGGAAATTACGCTCTCTCTATAAGCGGTGTAAGGAGCAGAACATCACTCTAAATGAGGATAAAAAGGCTATTGGCCTACGCGAGATTTCATTCCATGGTCACTCGATAACCAGTGATGGTGTGAAGCCCGATGACAAGAAGATCAAGGCAATTATGGAGATGCCAGCTCCCGAGGATGTCTCTGGTGTGAAACGATTTTGCGGAGTTGTGCAATACATGGCCAAGTTTCTACCAGACCTCGCGATCACTTTGGAACCCATTCGTGCATTGACGCGCAAAGATGTGGAGTGGAACTGGTCTAAAGACTGTCAAACCGCGTTCGACGAAGTAAAGCGCAAACTCACGAAAGCACCCGTATTGGCTTATTTCGACGCCAACAAGGAAGTCGTTGTTCAGGTCGACAGTAGTCAACATGGAATTGGCGCCGTACTGGTGCAATGTGGACAACCCATAGAATTTGCATCACGATCCCTAACGACATCTGAGCGAAACTGGGCACAGATAGAGAAGGAGGCCCTGGCGATACTTTTTGGTCTCGAGCGTTTTGATCAGTACACGTATGGACGAGCCGTTACAATCCAAAATGATCACAAACCGTTAGCATCGATACTGAAAAAGCCACTGAGTGATGCGCCAAAACGACTACAGAACATTCTAGTGCGTTTGAACCGATATGATTTCGAATTCCACTTTGTGAAAGGGATGAACCTGACCATTGCTGATGCGTTGAGCAGAGCTGAACTGGTTTCTGAAACTGAACCGCGACCGAGAATCATGTCTGTAAATGCTTTCAGTAATATTCCCGATGCAAGACTCGAGGAAGTCCGTGAGGCTACTGAAAAGGATCCTGGGATGCAGGAACTCGTATCATTGATTCTGTGTGGGTGGCCTAGTGACAAGGCTAGCGTTCCCGCCGCTGGGAGACCCTACTTTGATTTCCGCGACACGTTAGGATATCATGATGGTATTGTGATGAAAGGTGAATCCGTAGTGATCCCGCAATCGTTACGCACGGACATGAAAGCCAGACTACATAGTGCTCATCTTGCCTATGATAGTATAGCAAGGCAGAATCAGCCGTAAAGATCATCAAACATATGATGATTAAGTGTTTGCGCGATGGATCTGACCAATATGAAGCTCTTTTGGAACTGAGAAATACTCCAAGGCAGGACACTGGCAAGAGTCCTGCCGAAATGATGTTCGGACATTGTACGCGCACTATGTTGCCGTCAATACATCAAAAACCGCGTGACGTCGAAGCTATGACCCGTAGACAGTCCCGTAGAGATATTGTCAAACGTAACTACGACAAGAAGTCTCGAGTACTCCCGAAACTGAGGAAAGGACAGAATGTGTACTACAAGAAATTCCCGTCTGATATCTGGAGACAAGGAAAGATAATAGATGAAGTGGCTGATAGGTCGTACACGCTTCAAACTCCCAATGGTGCGATTTATCGTAGAAATCGTGTTCATCTACGCCCAACTACAGTGAACGTGAACATTCGTGATCACACGCCAACACGTCCAGTGAAAAGTGAGTCTATCAAATCATCTCAATACGATGGTGTGGTCGTCAACAACGAGGATGTGGGCCGCAACGGCTCGCGTGATGTCGATATCGGTACCAAGCAAACCGCGCCTGGAAACAATACTCCGATCGCGACCAGTGTTGGACAATCAGACACTCCGAGTGCACCCAAGGCCGAGCCTGGCATTATGCAATCATCACGACCAGCAAGGACAATTCGCGAGCCAGCCTATTTGAAGGACTATGTGCGCTAGTGATGTGTGACTGATGCAATTTGATCCAGTTTTTTTTACTTTTTAGGTGTTCCGGAACTGTGTTCAAGTTCAAGTGTTTAATTTTGTGTTAATGTTCAAAGAATTAATCTCATAAAGTAATGGTGTAATTCTGAACATTTTAGTTGTTAAAGGTTATAGAACTGTCTTTATACTGCTGCATCCAAAGACTACTGCTAGTAATATACTGGTGATAAGTTTTATACAATTTATTAAAGCCTCAAGAACTGTGCTAACAATAAGTGCCAAATTTGATGTCTATTTCCATTCTTAAAGAAAAGGGGATGTTGATGACATTTCGTTCCATATTAATTCCAAGATATATATATATGCATTCGTTCCGCATAATTGTGACAGCCTCGCTAGGATACCAATCCCAATTTTGTGTCTACCTATGTGGTACCATGTGCTTCAGTCGAATACAGTAGATCATGGCGGCTACACGTGTTAGTGTTATCTGTATTCTGTCGGTCCTGTTAGACCAGATATAGTTATTCACAGTTCTGGGCGTGTGTTCTATGATAGTTATGGGGGGCATTCACAATAGGTTTTGAGATGTTGATATGGAGGATATAGCAAAGTTTGTTTCATTTGGAACCGCTCCTGTATACCCTACACTTCCTAGCTCACGTATACGTAGCTATAGCGGAAACAGATCTGATAGCAATACCAGTACTTTGACACTAGGGAATCCCGTTTACGGGATAATGCCTTTGTACATGATAACCCCCGTCCCAGGGCTAGAGAGTCTGGGAGAGTACAGAATATCACAGGCCCTAGTTAAATAGGGGAGACAATTCTACCCCAAACTTTTACTAGCCCTCCCCCCCCCCCCCCCCCCCCCCCCCCCCCCCCCCCCCCCCCCCATGAGGGAATCTGTAGCTTGCCAAACATAGTAAAGGTACAGAAACATAAAGACCTATACAATTATGATGGTTCAGATGAATTCAAAGATTATATCATACACCTTGAGCAGGTGGTTCAATGAAACCAGCGGGTTATTATGAAACAACTTTAAAGATGTAAAGTAGGCAAGTTAGTATGAGAGCTGGAGGCTAAAGTGGCCAGGTTGGACCAATTATCAGGGAACATTGGTGAAGATTTCCTGTGTAAACATGGAGGTAAAATCCATTTCAGGGATAAGACCCTTAGGTTGGAGGGTTAGTGTGTCAACCTTGTTACAGAAGGGTACAAAGGGAGTGCCCGCGTAAGGATGTTTGAAACAGTTTCTGTACCAGCTAACTCAGAGTGTCACTTTAGGGGTTATATAGAAGGTGCAATACATAGTACAGAGGGCATAGTGGAACTAAATACATTTGTAGCCAATAAGGGGTTAATGGTGGCAAAAGCATTAGTCATTGCTTCATGGAATGAGATAAATCTCTCTGTCACGAACCTTGGTGATCAGAACATTATGATACATCCTAATATGATCGAAGGGAGGAGACTTCGGTAAAGCTTCATCAGCTAGAAGCAGATAAGGCCTTAGAATTATACATTAGTGTTTAAAACAATTGGTAGACCGGTTCTCATTGGAACTGACATATTTAGAGTAAAGTCAGACTACAGATCTGCAAGCAGAATATGAAGATATATTCTAACGACCTAATGGAGAAATTGGTCAAACTCAGGGGGTTGAGCACAATACAGACACAGGGAATGAGCGCCCAATTAGAATACATGCATGACTTATCTCTCCAAGTCAGAAAGTTATAGTTTAGCAGGAATTAAACAAAATGCTTGGTGATGGTATTATACAGTCCATCAACAGTCCTTGGGCAGCCCCTGTTGTATTAGTGACTAAGACGAACGGCTGTACCTAACTGCTCAAACCGTTGCCCGCAAGCTTGCGACAGAATTTATCTGCCGGTTTGGAACCCCAATATCCATTCACACAGTCCAATGACAAGAGATCTAATCTGACCTCTTTAAGGCTATTTGTGGAAAGTTAGGAATAATAAAATCTAAAATTACTCTCTACAGACCCCAGTCCGATGGACAGGTCCCTACAAAGTCCTCAAGAGACTTACTGATATTAATAATCAAATCCAAAAGTACCTTATTTCCAAGTCCATAGTTGTCCATATTGATCATTTAAAACCAAACTCAGATGCTGGAGATGAGAATGAATGTGATGAGTTTGGTGGCGGTACAGATACTGAGTTATTTCAGTCTAAGGGAGACAACTCGACAAAACAGAGTTGGTAGAAATGTAAAACCTTAAGTCAGATACTCAACATAATACCTAAAATTCAAATGAGAATGTAAATTATTGAGCAGCCAAAACAACAAAACTGCTGTACAAGCAGAAAATATCATAAAAGATATTTTTTCAGAATAAAAGAGAGAGAGCGAGAGAAAATTGTTTTTCTGTGAAATGTTTTTCATTGAAAATTTACATGGAAAAATTCTTAGGATATGTGTTCACCTTGTTGTGAGGATTTGTCATAGATGATCAAAAGTAGGTCACTATAACCTACACCTTAACCTATTATTTCTTATCTGATGAGGGACTGTAATTTGGCGAATTGTTTTGTTTGAGTAATAAAATACACATCTTGTGTCATTACATATACTAAGTAACAATACAACACAGCATGATATGAATGTACACTATTTTCCATTTAAAATATATTGTTTTCTTTTATCTAGGTTGGGTCGTGGAATCAGCTAACGCTCGCATTAAAAGCTTGAGTTATCATAACCATATTTTGCCAATAAATCAATTACCACACATTGGCGACTGTGTCAGAATTGTGTGTACCATCTCAAACAGGTTCTTTTCAGTTTTAAACTCAACTAATAATGCCGAGGAGAATATGTGCATGAGATCCAAGATGTTTTATTTATCAAAACAGAGAACCACTTGAAAATATCCAATATTGAGGCATGGTATTGTAAATGTCGAGCAGGGCCCCGAGTTGTTGGCGTATGTGCACATATTGCGGCAATATTGCGATATCTTGGATATGCGAAACACCGTGAAAACCAAGCCTATGGAGTCGGAGATTGGTGGAGATGTATTGCGGATGATAGCCAGGTTCCGGAAGTGGTTGACGAGGTAACAGTGGTGAAAGTATTGTTGAGGAATGACAAACTGTGAATCACTAATATTACGAGAATGTCTCATTTTGGCTTCAAAAAATTGAATTCAGAATGTTTGTAAAATTCAGTTACAATTATTGTGAATTTAAGTACGCTTTGAATCCGGACTTTACTAAGTCAGGTTGAATTTTAGTAATTGTAAATGCCGATGAAAAAGGATTGACTCGAATTACAAAAATCTTCTTCTCAACACCCAGATATGGTAGAATCAAATACTCTTCATGAATAGAATCATCTCAAAGTGTTTTACCAAAATTGTAAATTTCACGGCCCCAGGGTCTCATGTTTCTCCGTGGGGAGGGGGTTAATTTTACCATAGTTTATGCAGGAAAAATAGATTTTGAGCATAATTTGTTTAATTTCCATTTGAAATATTTCAGACTTGGTAAGAATTAAGAGCGAAGGATAATGGCTACATGGTGTGCTAATACTGACCCTAACTGACCCCCATGGGCTGATGGGTGGAGTCAAAAGGGTTGAAATTGACTTAAATTTCAAAATACTTCTTCTTAACACCCAGGCAGGGTAGGAATGCTTTTCATGGATGAAAGTGTCATGATGTGGTTTACCAAGATGGGTATCGCGTTTCTCCCTGGGAAGGAGTTTTTTACCATCATTTTTATAGAAAAAATGCATTTTTGAGTATAAAGTTGATTATACCCAAAAATTAACATAAACTTTGTTAAAATTATTACTATAGGATGGCAGCTTTGATGTTATACATGTATTGACACTGGCTTGCTATCACAAATATCGTTTTCATGCCTTATGACTTATTTTGTTGATTGGTGCTATTCATATGTGTGTGTTTGGTCTAATCTTTGATATGAATGTCTGGTAGATGTCCAATATCTTGGTCATTTGAAATGTCCACTGTGTGCCAAATTGCCATGTACTTGGTCATTATTATATCCTTTATATGGTTGTGTAGAAAATCTTAAAATTATTTATTTACAGGTACACACAACTTAATATCTATAAACAAAAACAAACAAAACAAGTTTGTGATCATGTTATACATTAAGGAACGACAGAGCTACGTGTTTTGAGGAGAGCATTTCTATCAATTTCATCACTTATTTCAGATCAAGAAATAGAAGACACTTACTCTCTACTAATGCAAAGACGCACTGACACAATTTTGTGTGGTTTTTGCGTTGTCAGCAGTATGCG